GAGAGGATTCTTACTCAGGACTTTCTCAGTTCAGGAAGCCAAGGTAAATGTAGAAAGAGAGGTGGAGAATGAGTCAGATGGCGATTGGTAAATGGTATATAAGAGATGCTTTCCTTTTCGTGGTCCTAGTCCGGTACAGCCCATCAGGTGTGGCAGTTCCACATCCCAGAGTGGAGCTCAGACTACCAGTGGCGTGGGGATGTGAATGCCATGGTCTCTGTCATAGAGGAAGTCTCCAAGGTCCAGAGGAAGACTGGGAACCACCCCATTGTCATCCATGGACTGTGAGTTTTAGATGCCCACATATGCAGCAGACTGATTGTGTCACAATCTAGTGTGGCCGTTAATAATTTAGTTGCCTTCTCGCTTTCATATTATGCTTGTGTGCATGCACACATGCAAGGTACATACACCTTGCACAAACACATGCGAAGTATATATGCCTTGTACAAGAGTAATAAAGAGTGGGTTGGAGCCTCCTACATTAGCACCATTATTCGCATTCTCGTTTCAATTATCTGCAGTGACACAGTGAGTAGATCGGCCATATTCTGTGGTGTGGCCACCACCATTGAGAGGTGTAAGACAGAGGGAGTGGTGGATGTGTTCCAGGTGGTCAAGGCCATGAGAGTTCAGAAACCTGGAGCCATACAAACTTTGGTATGATTACTAGCATTTATAAATGTTGATGCACGCACATTTTTCCACTTGCAGGAACAGTATAAGTCGATATTTGAAGCTCTTTTGGCGTATATTGACTCATTTGAAACATACTCAAATTTTGCTTCTTAGACGTGTTATAGCTATAAGCTCATGCAACACAATTGTTGCCAAGTGTGTATTAGTTTTAGTTCACTTCATGATGTTATTTACTCCAGAGATCCTGGAGTTTTAGTTGCATGTCAACTGCCGAGGCGCATGCGCATGAAAGGCCAGGCCTTGGGGGATGTGGATGAAGGGGGCTAGACTAATACCAAGATGGAGTCTCGCCGGGTAGCGAAGGAGAGAGAATGGGAACAGTTACGTTTGCGAGATGTTCGCTCTGACAGGGCGACCTACGGTAAGCCGATTTCCTGCAATTTGTTTATCAGAAGGATTACTTTCTCATTCATACACAACAAAGTCGAACCACATAGCTACATACGTAGCTGCTGGCCATAATAACGTGTATGATAGCTTGTATCTATACATGATTGTGATCCACCCCATACATCGGATTGTGCTAAGGCAGTTGAGACATATATTTGCTCTGAATGCACCCACATGCACACACATTCCTCCTCACCTCTCCATGCAGCTAGGGACTATGCTCACCAAGTGATAGTCGCCATATCCCCGTATCTCTCAGGACCTTCTCAGTTCAGGAAGCCAAGGTAGATGTAGAAAGAGAGGTGGAGAATGAGTCAGATGGTGATTGGTAAATGGTATATAAGAGATGCTTTCTTTTCGTGGTTCTAGTCCGGTACAGCCCATCAGGTGTGGCAGTTCCACATCCCAGAGTGGAGCTCAGACTACCAGTGGCGTGGGGGATGTGAATGCCATGGTCTCTGTCATAGAGGAAGTCTCCAAAGTCCAGAGGAAGACTGGGAACCACCCCATTGTCGTCCATGGACTGTGAGTTTTAGATGGCCACGTATGCAGCAGACTGAATGTGTCACAATCTGGCGTGGCCATTTGCACCATTATTCGCATCCTCTTTTCAATGATCTGCAGTAACACAGTGAGTAGATCGGCAATATTCTGTGGTGTGGCCACCACCATTGAGAGGAGGGAGTGGTGGATGTGTTCCAGGTGGTCAAGGCCATCAGAGCTCAGAAACCTGGAGCCATACAAACTTTGGTAGGAGTACTAGCATTTATAATTGTTGATCAGACACACATTTTTCCACTTGCAGGAACAGTATAAGTCGATCTTTGAAGCTCTTTTAGCGTATATGAAACATACTCAAATCTTGCTTCTTAGACGTGTTATAGCTATAAGCTCATGCAACACAATTGTTGTCTTAGTTTTTAGTTCACTTCATGATGTTGATTTACTCCTGAGATCCTGTAGTCAACTGCCGATGCGCATGCGCGTGAAAGGGGGCGTGGATGAAGGGGGCTGGACTAATACCGAGTCCAAGATGGAGTCTCGCCGGGTAGCGGAGGAGAGAGAATGGGATCAGTTACGTTTGCGAGATGTTCGCTCTGACAGGGCGACCTACGGTAAGCCGATTTCCTGCAATTTGTTTATCAGAGGGATTACTTTCTCATTCATACACAACAAAGTCGAACCACATAGCTACATACGTAGTTGCTGGCCATAATAATGTAAATGATAGCTTGTATACATGATTGTGATCCACCCCATACGTTGGATTGTGCTATATATAGCAGTAGAGACATATTTGCTCTGAATGCACCCACATGTACGCACATACCTCCTCGCCCCTCCATGCAGCCAGGGACTATGCTCACCAAGTGATAGTCGCCATATCCCCGTACCTCTTGCAATGCAAGTGTGTCGAACAGCTGTTGCCACATCTCGTGAGGCGAGGTGTAGTGGCCAGTAAAGTCAGGTCGAATCACACGGCTACAATCTCACTTGCATTGCCACCGACTTGCATGGCACGATCATCTCAGCCAGTCCGACACTGAAGCCGCGAGCAGCTTGGAGAGGTTGCTGAATGGGAGGTCCCGTGAGCAGGGAGTTGAGCCCAGTATGGTGGAAGGGGTCTACTTGGCTCTGCTGGACTGCTATTAGGAGTCTGGGAGTGTGTGGTGTCACGGTATGGCTGTCAGTGGAATTCAACCCGTAGGTATGTACTATGTGGCTTTTGTAGTACTAATGGACCAACTTTCATTGACTTTCGCAGTGAGATTCAAGTTAAAGTTGCCAGACATCAATTTCGATGGTACAATCACACTCTATATAAATACTGTTGTGAAGGATTGCGCCCGAGCGGTCGGCGCTTGCTGCTCCTTAGTTGATTCTCTTAGCAAAAGTATAACTTCTCATCAACTGCGCGAATGCATAGACTTTTTATAGGGATGATACACAAAGGAATATTAAAGAAAGATCTAGAAGCAGAGGGGATTATGAAGGTGGGTGACAGGAATATGAAGGTGGGTGACACAAGTGTGAAACGGTGATCAAAAGTGAGCAGAGGAAGAGACAGGATGAAATCAGCAGACATGTAGGCTCGACTAAATATAGTGACTACAGAAATAGCAGCACTAAATAAAACCTACATCAGCTAGCTATAAATACATCAACTCAAACTAAACCCTATAGCGATCTAATACTACAAATATTCAATTACCAGTCTACCCCAGTCCTCCACAACTGTTATCTGGTGTACTGAAGCATGGGCTGTGCACCTTTGCTTTTGATTGAAGTGACGCAGTATACTGAACCGTTGTGTCCGTAATGTTTTTCAAAGCAGTTGTCTATGTTCCATAGACTTGGCAGTTATACACCAGAGGGTATCGTCAACAAACCTACCTGAAGGAGACGCAGCCATGCTGACAGAGAAGCTTGGGCTGAGCAACTATGGCACTCTCACAGATCTCAAGAAGATCATCTAGATTTTGCTTTCAGCACCAGAGTTTCATTTCACAAGCTGGTGTCAGCTCTTCTGCTCATTCGAAACACCGGCCGATACCTCAGCCTGCTCTTACCCTACTGTAAGTAGCACATGTAATACACAGTTTCATTGTGCATGTGATATTTACCAAGCATGCCATTGCATAATTGAAGGGGTCAGAGCCAGAGTGAGCCAACCCTCAATATACAGCTCTTGCCAGCAACTGCAATTTGCCACAGCCCATCAGTTCCGCATCCCAGAGTGGAGCTCAGACTACCAGTGGCGTGGGGATGTGAATGCCATGGTCTCTGTCATAGAGGAAGTCTCCAAGGTCCAGAGGAAGACTGGGAACCACCCCATTGTCATCCATGGACTGTGAGCTTTAGCTAGTGGATCATTATCTAGCTGTTTAATAAAGCTGTCAGTGGACAAAAAAGACAACTGCAAGGCATAACACCTACAACAACCCATTTTCCTACTGACATGGACCGTAAAATTGCAATTATAAGCTATGAACGCTATCAAATTGAAGACATTCACTGTCATTGTATGGCTCTGTGTGAGCCAATGTCCACACAACCCGGCCAAAATCCTTATTTTACAACTGGCCCCATTTACAAGACATACATGGAGTTCATCGTTATGGGGATGAATAGAAGAGTGACCAACATTGAACATTATGGTGTATCTAACTCTATTTCTATACAGTGACACGGTGAGTAGATCAGCCATATTCTGTGGTGTGACCACCACCATTGAGAGGTGTAAGGTAACTCATCGAGTATCACAGTCAGCGGTAAGTATGGTGGTAATAGGATGATAACAATACACATTGTTGGTTCATTTGGCTATTCCAGTTCCACCACCCCCAACTAATCTGACCCTGGAGCAAAATAATGAGACAAGCATCAATGCATCATGGAGTCCACCTCCCCAGTCTGCAAACATTACAGGATACAGAGTGTTCTGGACTCAGTGCACCTTCTCCTCTGACTGTATCAACCACACAGTGATTAATTCCTCGACAGTTGAAACACTGACAGGCTTGATGGCAGGGCAGTGCTACAGTGTTTCTGTGGTTAGTGTCTCAGATCTCCCAAGTAATATTACAACCCAGAATATAACTTTAGGTAATTTTTTCCTTGTTGCTAGAAGTTTCTGTCTCACAAAATTATATCTTCTCTTTTTAAAGTTACCAATCCAGTAATATCAGCATTGATGTGGTATCTACTAGCGATGGTTTCTCATTGATGATAAACCTTAGTAACTATGTAGAAAACGGGATCTATCGTATTATGACCAATGTGACTTGGTTGAGATTTTTGCACTGTAACAATGGTCTCGGAAGCTCTAACATGACTGACCAGACATATGATGTGAATCCAATGAATCTAAGCATTACCGGATTAGTTCCTAACAGTGAATACAATATGACAGTGGTGGTAAGTAATGCTCTGGGAAGCAAAACACAGAGTGTTTCTAATCAGACTCAGCCAGCAGGTACAGTCATTAACCCCTATGAAGCAAACCTTTACACATGTATTATCCTGCAGCACCATCTGCCCCACCACAAGACATAGTGGCAGTAAACCAGACCCTCTTCACCATCACCATCAGTTGGCAGCCTGTTGACTGTGCCCATCAGAATGGGAATATAACAGGATATGAAATACGATATAGGAAAAAAGACGGTGGAAATACCAAAGCAGTGTCGGACAGAGTCATAATGGGTGCAGATTATACCCTAATAGACTTGCAGCCATCAACTGCATACTTGATTCAAGTGGCAGCAAACAACACAGTTGGCAGAGGAGCTTTTGGAAACATATCAGCATCAACATTGCTATGTGAGTTCATTACTTCGAGGCACATATGATTAGTTACCAAGTTCTTTTGTGTCAGTTGAAGTTCACGTGATATCAACAACATCAACTTCGATTAGCATATCATGGCCAGAAGTTGACTATGAAGTCCTAATCACATGGATCAGCACTCCATCAAGCCATTGTACACAAAATATCGATCAAAGTTTAAAGAACGATTCTGTGAATGGGAAATCCTCTTATGTGATAGATGGTCTGAAAGTATTCACCGAGTATAACATCACACTTTGCATAAATGGCTCTATCTGTACTTTCAAGGCTGTAGTGACTAATGCAACTGGTATGTTCATTTCATAATCTTGTACGATTCTTAAAAATTGCCCATTTTTTCAGCACCATCTGCATCTCCAAAAGGAATGTCATGGGAAGGAAGTTCATCGACAACCATCGCTATAAAATGGGGTCCTGTGCCATGTGCTGATCGCAATGGAAATATCACTAGTTATGTGGTGATGTTCAGAGAAAATGGGAAGGAAATGTTCCATAATAAAACTACTACTGGAGTTGATATGGAGTTCACTATCACTGGGTTAGAACCATCGACTGAGTATGAGATTAAAGTTGCTGCTTTCACTGTGGCTGTTGGACCGTTCACTAATGAAAGCTTGTTTGCAAGCACCACAGGTAGCTATATGTATGCATATATCAGTACCCTGCACGTTTGCGTGATATACAGACTCACCCAACATTGTAGTGACAACCACTGAAGCATCTCCTCCTACCACAGCAGACACTAGAGAAGGTGGCAGTAATGTTGGTGGAGTAGTGGCTGGTGTGATAGTGTCTGTTCTGTTTTTTATTGGAGCTACTCTGGGCATCATTGCTGCTATCTGGCTAATGAGAAGGTGTAGATGTGCACTGGGAATGTTTTTCATACCTACTCTGTTGTGTGTGCTCTGCAGGAAAAAGTCAACTATGAAGGGTCTTTTCTCAATGGGTCACTTTAAAGTCACCCGCAAACAAAGCACCTTGCCTCACTCTAGAGATACACAAGACATTTCTCTGGAGCAGCTTTCCAGTGAGTCAATACTATGGGTCTGCCCTAAGACTAGTTAGTATCTTGTTCTCAGCTGGAGGGAGTCTGGCAGGTGGAGAGCTATCCTCTGAGAAAGATGAAGTCAAAACACACTTTCAGTCTCACTCTGACAGTCCCTCACAACAGCCAGCTACAGTACAAAGCTATACCCTACCTCTCCTATCTAGCTGATGAGGAAGGTAGAGGAAGAGGAGGAGGAGGAAGAGGCTGATCCTGTCCCCAAGCCTTCAGGTAAGTTTCATGCGAGACCAGTACCTCTGCCAGTGGCTCTGTTTGGGAGCAATGTGGAGAAGAAACACACCAACAACAACCAGCCTTTCATGACTGAGTTTGAGGTAAGTCAAAATGTATACATCAAACCATTTCATCTTTGTTGCTGTGTGGATGTAGGCACTGGGTGATGGTGAAGGAAAGACTGTTATGTAGCAAG